AATAAACCAGGGTTCACACCAGTAATCCTAGCACTTTAGGAGGCTGAGGCGGGCAGATCACAAGGTCAGGAGTTCGAGACCAGCCTGGCCAATATATTTGTTAAGTTAATATTTTGAGTGTGCCATTTATTTTCTGTGCCATCTGTTAAATGATGAGCATTTAATAAAATTGTGATAATCAGTTATCAGTACAAGTGCCTCATAGTGCATGGGCTGAAATGTCTCAAGATTCCCCACACTATATATCAGTATTTTCTATCTGTATTTGGACAATGCAGTAGAAATTATAACAAATACAAAGTTCTTTGTGCTTTTCTGCTGCATATGTCAGTGGCTCTGGAGATTGTTACCATCTGCTACATATATAAATGGACTTGCAGTTATTACTAAGCCCCTCTTCAGTAATAGAAAGACTTATGAAGTCTTTTACTACCTCTGGGTCAGCCAAACAACCTTCAAAAAGCATTGTTATTTAGGTTAAATATCCATGGACAAGAAACAAGATAATCAGTTACTGAGTGAAGAAAGACAAGAATGATGTCCCACACTTCCCAGCTCTCTAAAGTGTTATGCTGTACAATTAAAATATCCCTGTCCCATCATCTGCTATTATTTATTGTGTGTAATTCATGTAATCTGTAACCTGTGGGCAAGTCTTTACCCTTCAGTAGTCAAGATTATGTTACAGACTTTGTCCAAGAATCCACATCACCTTTCCCATCAGTTCTCACCAGAAATATGATGCCAAAAAGAAAATCAGCTTTTCTAAGATCAAGCCAGAGTTGCTTCTCTTACAACCTTATGGCGCTAATAAATTAAGTTGAAGTAGACTGCCAAAGAGGCCCAGTGCAGAGGGCAGCACCCCCATCATTTTTTTAATTTCTCCCTTAGGAATTTTGCCTTTCTTTCTCTTCTGTCCACCAGTCATTCTCTCCGGCTGGGACACAAACCTTTGAAAGGAAGTAATTGCCATTAGGCTTCACAGCAGTGCTTTTTCCTTTCACTTGAATTTGCATTTCGACCTGCATTTTGAAGATCTTTACACATGTTTTCTATTTTGAACAATGCCAGAAGTCTTCATTGACATTGTAGTCTGTGTTAATAAACTTGTGTGTCACTCTGCTCTGGTCTTTCAGGAACTGACTAGCAAATGAAATGAATACATTGGGACTTTGGCATAATTTGAATATAGCATTGTGAGTTGCCTGTGATTGTCTCTTCCTAATTGTGCTGTAATAACCTGTGTATGAGAATAAAATGATTTCCACCGTCAGGATTCTCCCATGCCCCCCTTTATTTTGCCATAGACTGAAGGGGAAAGTCCATTCTCACTCTCCTTACCTTAGAAAATTTTATTTGCCTCATGATGACTGTCTGCAGCTTAGAAGTAGACGATGTAAATCTCGTCACTATTTCACAAGAATAAAATTCAAATCAGTTATATCCAAAGTAAGCTTTCGACTGGGAGTGGTGTCTCACACCTGTAATGCCAGTGCTTGGGGAGGCCAAATGGGGAGGATCGCTTGATCCGAGGCATTTGAGACCACCTGGACAACATAGCAAGACTTACCTCTACAAAAAAAAAAAATCTTCATTAGCCATTTTGGGCTGGGCGCAGTGACCCACACCTGTAATCCTAGCACTTTGCGAGGCCAAGGTGGGTGGATCACCTGAGTTTAGGAGTTTGCAACCAGCCTGACTAACACGGTGAAACCCCGTCTCTACCAAATGCAAAAAAATTAGCCGGGTATGGTATCGCATGCCTGTCGTCTGAGCTACTTGGGAGGCTGAGACCAGAAAATTGCTTGTACCTGGGAGGAAGAGGTTTCAGTGAGCCAAGATCACGCCATTGCACTCCAGCCTGGGAAACAAGAGCAAACTCCATCTCAAAAAAAAAAAAAATTAGCCGTGATGGTGCATGTCTGTAATCCTAACTACTTGGGAGGCTGAGGCAGAAGGGTCACTTGAACCCAGGAGTTCGAGGCTGCAGTGAGCCATGATCAGGCCACTGCACTCCAGCCTGGGTAACAGAGTGAAACCCTGCCTCTTAAAAAAATAAAAATAAAGTAAGCTTTCTTCAACAAGTTTTCTTCCAATGCTATACACTCCATCACCATATTAATTTAAATTATTTAGTATATAGCAGATTTACTTTGAGACCAAATCTGTGAAGTTGGTGATGCTATCTAATACTTCTTTATTTTCCTTATGGGATCTTTGCAACTTAGAACATAATTATTACTCATTGTATCGAGGTCATTTAACATCATGTCAGAATGCTAACATTAAATAAACCAGGGTTCACACCAGTAATCCTAGCACTTTAGGAGGCTGAGGCGGGCAGATCACAAGGTCAGGAGTTCGAGACCAGGCTGGCCAATATCGTGAAACCCCGTCTCTACCAAAAAGGCAAAAATTAGCCAGGCATAGTGGTGTGCATGTAGTCCCAGCTACTCGGGAGACTGAGGCAAGAGAATCGCTTCAACCCAGGAGGCCGAGGTTGCAGTGAGCTGAGATCACACCACTGCACTCCAGCCTGGGTGACAGAGTGAGACTCTATCACACACACAAAAAAGGAACACCTGGTTTTTTAGTTAGTGATACCTAAATCTTGAAATGTG